AAATTTATCTCAGATTACAGCTTAAGAAGGCTTTTCTAACACCACTGTTTATTTATGTAGAGGAAGATGTTAAAGCCAACTTTTCACTTACAGTTCCCTGTATGTTTTTAAGCAGCAGGAGGACTTTGGGGTAGAAACTGAACTCCTGGAGGCAAGAAAATAAATGTGCCTTATTAATCCAGTAGAATATTATTACAAAGTCTGGTAATAATAATTGAATTACATCAAGATGAGGTATTAATTACATGATAGTCTACAAAGGAAGCTCACACTTAGACTCTTTAAAATTTTCTCAATGCAAGCTCAATTTGTTTTAATACTAGTCAGTAAGTCATAAATCAACACACTGAGATGAAAAGGTCAAGTGTCATTTTAAAGATTATTATTTTAGCAAACTTATAGAAAATGGCCACACGCTGAGTGTCGTGGAACTGAATATTGTTTTCTTTTTAGTGGTTCTTGCTTACTCTCCCTACTGGTCCTTCTATAGCATTGAAAAAAAATCACTCAAACTTTCAAGCATACATTCCTATATTACACATTGGAAAGAGAAGGAGGTACATGGGTTAAACTGACACCACGGCGAGCAAAGGGGAGACTTTTCCTGTGATGGGTGTTGTTTGAATATAAAATTTCCCCATGGGCTAACATGTTTGAATACTTGGTCTCCAGTGGATGATGTGGTTTTGGAAGTTCTGGAACCTCTAGATGATGGACCTGAAGGTCATTAGTGGTGGTCTTTGAGGAATTTTAGTCTGGCCTTGCTGCTTTTCAACTGTCCCACTGAGGTGTAAAGACCTGAAGAATCCCAAACCATACAGCAGCCACCAGGGAACTGCCTGTCACCAGGGCATCTATTACAGGGAGTTCTCTCAGACTGTGAGCCAAAACCAAGTCGTCCTTCCTCCCTTTAGTTGCCTTTTGCTTTTTAAAAGCCAGAAGCCTTTTGGGGGCACAAATATGCTCATATATCTAAAGATATTTTAAGGAGCTGTGATTGTGTGTGTGTGTGTGTGTGTGTGTGTGTGTGTGTGTGTGTGCCTGTACATATGCATGTGTTCTCTTCCTTTCCTTTCCCTTCCCTTCCTTTTCTTTGCTTCCCCTCCCTCCCTCCCTCTCTCCCTCCCTCCCTCCTTTCTTTCTTTCTTTCTCTCGTTCTGATAGTCTCACTGTGTAGCCCCTGCTGACCTGTAACTCACTATGTAGATCACACCAGCCTTGAACTCACTGAGAACTCCCTGCCCCTACCTCTTGAGTGAAACCATTAAAAGGCACGCACCACTACGCCCAGATCCTTGCTTCCTCTTAAATTGACTATCTGAGCTTGGAAAAGTGACTGATTTCTGGTCAACACAGTGTCTTTTGTTCTTCCTTTTTTCATATCTTAGACTTAGCTCATGAATTGTGATGGCCCTGTATTATTCTCTTAGGAAAGGGGTGGAGTTAGAAATTATTAACATTTCCTCTCATCTAAGAAGAGAGGGTTTCTGATGCTTCTCATGAGTAGCGTTGGAAGGCCGACTTGCTACATCCTCCTGTGCTCTTGTTACTTGTGATCCCCTGAAGGAGTGCTCAGCTGATGTTTTAGTAGATGCATTATTATTGCATAAAAAACTGGTCCTTAGCTGGGCAGTAGTGGCGTACACCTTTAAACCCAGCACTCAGGAGGCAGACGGATCTTTGTGAGTTTGAGGCCAGCCTGGTCTACAGAGCTAGTTCCAGGACAGCCAAGGCTGCACAAAGAATTAAAAAAATAAAAAAATAAAAAAGAAAGAAAAAAGGAACTCCACAGTGTTAAGTGGCATGCTGTGCTGTGATGTGAAAAGCATCATTTGACCCATCTTCAGTGTTTCTATTCTTTGATTTTATTGGTTTGAAAGGGGTTTCAGTTAGTCTTAGCTGAAGAACAGAAAGCAGGTGGCTCTATACGGCTGGTTTTCAGGCACAGACTGAAGCCCACAGCCTGGCCTTCACTAGGTTGTGCGATTCTGTAAAACCAGTTAGACTATGGTTTTTCAGTGGTTCTTGTTGTTGTTTTGTTTTGTTTCACTTTTCCTTTCAGATAAGGCAGGCTGTGTGTGCTTCCTGTCCTCAGGCAGAAATCACACATCTGCAGTGGCCCTGAACTAGGTATGAGAGAGAAATAAAATAAATCCTAATGACAGTCTACTATATTCATAGATCAGTGACTTATTCAGTCATCACCAGAGAAGCTTACTCCTGCAGAAGACAAGAACAAATACAGAGATGCACAAACACACACAACACACAGACACACACAACACACGCACATACACACAAATACACACACACACAACACACATACACACACAACACATACAAACACACACACACACACACACACACACATACACACACACACGTGCATGCGCGCGCACGCACCGGAGACAGAGAGAGACCTTGGAACACACAGCTCTAAAAAGGGATGCCTCTATATAATCCCTCCTGTCAAAATTCAGAGAACCCCATGGAAAAGGAAGCAGAAAGAGTCACAGGGGACAGAGGACACGTGGAGAACAAATCTCTAAATCAGCTGAGCAAAGCTCATACGTGGTAATATTGGCTTCCTCCGCCATGGATGCAATAAGTCACATCAAACCAAATTAATAAATCCAGATTTAATAAACAGAGCAAATCAACCCCTGGTGGCTCTCAGGAAAGGAGCATGAGATCACGTGGCAGATCTATGGGCCAGGTCTTAAACAGCCTTAGGTGGTCTTGAGTGGTTCCAGGGAGGAGTTGTGGATGGCAGGCCTTAGGGATGGGGTCTGGAATGAAAGGAGTGGGACTAGGTGGAGCTTCCCAACAATATGAAGGCACAGAGTCTGAAGCAGCAGCAGCCATCAGAGGACTTGAAGGGGTCTGCACTGGGTCTACCATGTGTAGCTTCCAGTTTAGGTGTTTTTGTTTGTTTGTTTGTTTTTGTTTCTCAAGAAAGGGTTTCTCTGTAGCTTTGAAGCCTGTCCTGGAACTAGCTCTGTATAGACCAGGCTGGCTGCGAACTCACGGAGCTCCACCTGCCTCTGCCTCCTGAGTCCCGGGATTAAAGGAGTGCACCACCACTGCCCAGCCAGTTTAGTGTTTTTATGGGACTCCTGAATATGTGAACGACTGGGCCTCTGATTCTCGTGCCTTCTCTTGGGTTCTTTTCCTTCTGTTGGTTTGCCTTGTCCAGCTTCAAGATGGTGGGTTTTTGTTTTATTTCATTGTATTTTATTTTATCCTATCTGGTTGTTATCTTATAGAAGCCTGCTCTTTTCTAATGACAGACAGAAAAGGAGTGGATCAGGAAGGGAGGGAGGTGGGAAAAACTTGGAGGAGTTCAGGGAGGATATCTTGTATGAGAAAACAATCTATTTACAGTAAAGAGGAAAATAAAATTGGTTATATGATAACAAATTATGTCAATGTTCTTTCTTTAGGAATGTCTTCCTTTATGTTGCAAGGAATTATTGTTATTATTATTATTATTATTATTGATAGTTATATGTTCCTGGGTTGCCACTTTGTTTCTTTATTTAGGCTTTAGGTTTTTTGAGAAAGAGTTTTTGTTTTTTGTTTTTTTTTTTGTAGCCCTGGATTTTCTGAAAGTCACTATATAGAATAGGCCTCGAACCCACAGAGATCTGCCTGCCTCACTGGGATTAAAGGTATGTACCACCAAGCCTGGTGGCAATTTATTTCTAACTGTTGAGGACAGACACTTCCCTTCTGGCCTTCCTACTTTCTGCCAAACTGTCTACTGTACTTTTTGTAGCTTTTCCTTCATCAGGAAGATACTGCTTTTTCTTTTCTTTTTTCTTTTTGGTGGGGGGACAGGGTCTCTCTTCATAGCCTTGGCTGCCCTGAACTCACTCTGTAGACCAGGCTGGCCTCAAACTCACAGAAATCCACCTGCCTCTGCCTCCCGAGTGCTGGGATCAAAGGTGTGCGTTACCACCACCTGGCCTACCCTGCAGTTTAACTCCCATTTAATTTTTTGTGAAGGTTTAGTTTTGCATTTTACATCCCTGCTACTGATTGCTAGTAAAACTCCTCTATGATCCACCTTTGATAGCGTGTGGAGATTTTCTCTGTGGTCCTGGAGATGGTCTGTTTTGTTAGTATTTCTTATAGGCTTGAAAAAGTGGCCATTGAATCATTAGTAGAATTTCAGGTGTCAACAATTTCTGTTGTCAGCTTGATGTATAACAGACCCCAAATAATAGCAACAACAAAATCAGAACATAAGGGTACAATAAGATTTGCCATGGTGTGACCATTTCATGATTTCTGATTACTGAATGAAGGGATACTGCAAAAATAAGGAACAGGAGAAAAGTCACTTGAATGTTGAGAATTACTTAAAATGGCTTGCTATCACTGATGCAATAGTTTGCACACTTGATAATGTATTTCTTGCAATGTCACAGGTCAGCATGATTTGTAGGGCATACGTTCTGAATGCTTACCATTACATCAACTTCAACACTACAACTCTACATAAAATAACTTTGGTATTTTACTCAAGTAAGTATCCTGGAGACTGCAAAGTTAACCACGGTTTAAGTATTTTCTGTATGTTCTCAGAGGTTGGAGACTGCAATCTAAAACTTCACAAGGCAAGCAACTCCAAGAGCCACTAATTGACATGTGATGTTGTCTCAAGCCTCCTTGACACGTGGTGAAAGGAGTGGGAATTAAATCAGAAGTAAAAGCATTTTTGCGTTGGCAACTATGCAGAAGTGCGAGCTCTATTGTTATAGCCGTCTGCCTAATGGAGCGTAAATCCACATTTAAATAGCGTACTTGGGTTTTAAGTAGTAAGCAGATGATCCCAGACCACGGACTGGAAGGATCGGCCGGGCACGTAACGCGCAAGCGCGGGGCTACCGCGGCCCACAGGAAGAGGGGAAAGCACGGGGAGGCGTGGCCGCACCCTGGCCACTCTTCCAGGCCCCGCCCCTTAGCCCTCCGACGACGTCCTTCCGCTTCCGGTGTCCCACGCTTCTCTTTCTTCCTGTCTGGCCGGGAACATGGCGTCGCGCAAGGAAGGCACCGGCCCCACCGCCGCCTCGTCCGGCTCCGCGGGCGGCGCGGTGGGGAAGGGCAAGGGCAAAGGCGGCTCTGGAGACTCAGCCGTGAAGCAGGTGCAGATCGACGGCCTGGTGAGTGCGGGTGTCGGCCCCGGGCCCGCGTCGGCGCGAGGAGGCTGAGCGCGCTTTCCACTCGGCAGCACCCTTCTCCTTCGAGTCCACTGTGGCTCGAGAGACACCACAGCCTTCCATGCTTTCCCAGGAGGGAGCCGGGTGCTGAGCACAGGGGCCGGGGTAGGGGTGTGTGGCACGTTCGCCCGGTCTTGCTTTTAGACGCTCAGGAGAGGGAGACAGAGCTGGTCACAGCCAGGTGACAGTTGTGATGAGAAGAGTTTAGGGCCGTTAGGGCCCTAGGAAGGGGAGAAAGGGGGAAGGGAACGGACGCCCCGGCCTCCCGAGGAGGCTTTGGACAAGTGCGTCTCAGGGGGACTCACTATGTCACGGTGCTTTCGAGCAAGAGGGTCTGCACTTTACCGGGAATTGCGGAACTGGGCTAGACCCTTAGGCAATGTTGAGTCTGAGCAATCAAAAGCCATAGGAAATAGCCCTAAGTATATTTCTGGGTAAGGTTCACGAACTAGGGCGTCTGTGGAAGCTCGGGATAAGGAAACGGATGGGACAGAAAAGATGTGGACCTAAAATGATGTGTGTTTCTAGGCGTCAGGAGCATCATCCAGCAGGCTGGCACGCGGCTTTACCCCCTGCGCTAGTGAGGCACAAGCAGCCAGACTCTGTCTGAGGCCACCTGGGGCTAAGATCTCCCCCTCCCCGCAAAAAGAAAACCACAAAAGAAAAAGACTTCCTCCCTGCCTTTTGTCAAAAGCACACTTTCCTCTCAGCAGTTTTCTAGGAATTTCCCAGTAGCTAAGACACTTGTCATAGGGATTTTAGAGTTCATGTGAAAATTGGGATTGTAGCAGGCCGTGCAGTATGTAAGTGGAAATCATTAGTAATTTCACTTCAGAATACAATTGAGTTTGTTGGGATTGACATGAAATTTGATTTTTTTTTTTTTTAATAGCCCAGTGTTTAAAGGCTCCGTGGTCCTGATAAAGTTAGACCTTATCAGCCTGGCTTACCTGATATATTCAGATGGGAGTGAGGAGTATCATGTATTGTTTGGACTATGAAAACCCTTTATGCTGTGACAAGTAGGCATGGCTTGTCTGTCAGGTTGGTGCAGAATGTGGAGTGCAGTGCCGGATAAGACCATTGGAGTCTTTTCTCCCAGGCAGTTTGTCCTCTTCATATTTAAAACTGGGCCTCTGAGGCGGACCTGGGACTTGCAGATAGTTATGCTGCCTGACTGGCTTGAGTTACAGGAATCCAGCTCTATTTTCCTCCTTAGGACTAGGGTGACAGACGCCAGCACCATGCCTGGCTTTCTTTTTCAGATGAGAGCTGAGGAGTTGAGGGTCTCCTCAAGCTTGTGTGGCAAGGCACTTTACCAAATGAGCTATCTTCTGCAGCTCCTTTTCCAAGTGTAGTATACCTGTGTTCCTTCACAGCGGCCTCACCCCTACACAAACCTATGGTAAAGTGGGCACGTTGTACATAGAACTGTGTCTCAGCCGGGAATGGTGGCGCACATCTGTAGTCCCAGCGTGTGGGGTGGAGGGGGAAGGAGTGGGAGTTGAAAGTCATGGGTCTACCATCATTGCTCACTCGCTTGCGCACACGTGGGGGTCGGGGTGCCTGCTGCTAGCTAGTATTAGAAGTACTGTACTTCGTGTCATTAATCCAAACAAAATTCAGAATTACAGGGTTAATTTTTGACTGCTTTCATACCATGGTAAGGTCAGAAAATTATAAGGAGTACATTATAAAGCTAGCTTTATATATTATAGTGTTGAGTGAATTTAGTAGCTCTCAGGTAGAAATGACAGCCATTCTCCTATAAGTGAGAAAACTAAAATACAGATAGATTATGGGTCTTGATATATGCTAAAGTGCAGAAATAATTTCTATTTAGAAGAGTGGTTCTCAGTCTGTGAGTCACAACCCCTTTGGGGGGCCAAGTGGCCCTTTGGAAAACAGATATTTACACTATGATTTGTAACAGTAGCAAAATTATAGTTATGAAATAGCAGTGAAAATAATTTTATGGTTGGAGGTCACCACAACATGAACAACTGTATTAAAGGGTCTTAGCATTGGGAAGATCGAGATGCCTGGTTTTAGCAGTTATGTGAGATCTGATTATGTTTCCTTTTTCTGATGATGAAAGAGCAGAGTGCAATGTAGCTTACACACCCATCTTACTGATGACATGTTTTATTTCACTAAAACTAAAAGGTCTGAAATGGATCCTACATATGCCAGTGTAGTATAGTGGTAATTCGGCTAAATATAGTCAAAATGCGAAGCTTTTCCCACTTGCGTTGGAATATTACCTTCATACTTATTTTAGCATCTTCCTCCCTTCCTCTCTCCCTCCCTCCCTCTTTCTTTCTCTGTTTTTCGAGACAGGGTTTCTTTGTAGCTTTGTAAACTGTCCTGGAACTCGCTTTGTGGACCATGCTGGCCTCTAACTCACTGAGATTCATCTGCTTCTGCCTACCCCAGTGCTGGGATTAAAGGCATGTGCCGCCAATGCTGGTTTAGCATTTTATTTTATTGTGGTGATATTTTGTTTGTGGTTTAACAAGTAAAGCTTGCCTGAAGATCAGAGTGTGGAGCTAGCCACACTAGTTAGCCATAGAGGCCAGACAGTGGTGGCACACACCTTTAATCCCAGCACTAGGGAGGTGGAGACGGGAGTGACATGTTTGGGCAGAGAGAGGAATGAATATAGGGCGGGAGGAGACAGGAGCCCAGAGCATTCAGTCTGAGGGTTCATAGAGACAGAATCACCCTTTTGGTCTGAGGATTCAGTAGATGTAAAAGGTCGCTCTAGTGGCTGACTGCTCTGCTGCTCTGATATCTGAGCTTTCACCCCCTAATATCTGACTCTGGGTTTTTATTATAAAGACTGATGCGCTTCATTTTCTCCCAGCTCTCATTAGTACACATTGGATCCTGTTGATTGTGTGAGGTTTGCTTTCTCTTAGTCCCATCTACAGCTACTTTCATTATGTAAGCGGTAGGTGCTTACCTGTGACACAATCCATAAAACACAGTTTTTATGAAGAAAAGCTCGATACACTATTGTAAGGGAATTTTGGAGAAATGAATTTGGGTTGGCTCACACTCTTCAAACTTGGGAAGCATTTTCCTGGTTTTAAGTAAGAACACAGAGTTGAAGTGAGTGAGTTAAAGGTGAGTCAGTTCTGGTCTTGCTGGGCACGCTGCTGCACTGCTTTCCTCTGGTCAGACAGGGCCGTTTAGTCTCCCACCTGCAGAGTATCCCACTCTACTCATTGGCTCCCTTGCCAGCTCAGTGCTCCTATTCTGAAAAAATTGTACTCTACTTTTAAAACTAAGTGTTCATATTAGTACTACTGTTGCATTGATGCAGTTGGTTTCTGTTATTAGGATTCCAGTCATGCCTTCGTCACCCAAGCATCTGAACATGTTTGATGAGTTCTAGATGGTTTCCTTAGAATCTCTGAAGGTCACTTCCTAGCTCTCTGAGTCATGCTTTCCTTTCTAACATTCCTTCCTTTCCCATCTATTGCAGAAACCTCACATAAACTGTCTTATAAGCTATTTTGTCTAGTTGGCTGTCATAGACAGTGCTGTTGAGTAAACTTTCTTATTGGATAGCCGTAGCCTGAAAACGAAAACCCTATGGAAAATCACCATTACGCCCAAAGCAAACTCACTTCCCTGTGTGATGTTTAAATTCCTCTCCTTTTTGGAGAGAAGAAAGCCCTCCCTTTGGGCATGCATACACATCAGCTCCTTTGGAAGTACTCTATGAATAGGAAGATAAACCTTATGAGCTTACTGTAGTATACCCTGGGTAACCTGGCTATTCTGGAACTCTCTTTGTAGAGTAGGCTGGGCCTAAGCGCAGTCCACCTTCTTCTTCTGTGTATCTTGAGTGATTAAAGGCTTGTGCCACCATGCCTTTATAGTATATTTTCACATGTTGGAAACAGGTCTGTTAATTAATAATTAATATGTGCACATAGAACACAGACCATGAGAAAAAAATGTGCAGGTAAAGAAACTGAACCACCTGTTCCTCATTCATCTTTCCCAGACAGCCATAATTAATTACTCTTTTTAAAATGGTTCCTACCTTTCTCCTGGGCCTACTTTAGTAAGTACTGAAGCATTTGATAATCTTAGCGCCTCCAGACTCCAGAATGGCCTTTCTAGTGGTCAGTGCGCCTGAATGTACTGCAGTATTTTAGGACATTTTGTAACAGTTCTGGAATGTTATTTATTAATGTATTGCTTTGTATAAGAGAAGATAACTTTTGTTCCAGGTAAGCCTTTCTGTCACTAATTTTACTTTAGAATAATTACCATCCAGCTACACTTGGGAAAAAAAAATTACAGGTAATTGTTAGATGAGATATAAAAACCGGTGAGTTAAGCATCTTGTTGGTTAACATGTAATTGTCTTGTATTTGTGAGCATTTGGTTGTACCATTATGCTCTCTGTGACAATTGTAGGAGGAGAGGACTGTTACTCTGTTCTCTTTTTCACAGCAGTTAATTGATTTAACTTTAAAAATGTGAACCGTAGGTGAGCATTAGATCCAAGAGAATAATCATGAACGTGTTCTTTCAAAGTGAAATATTATAGAGGTGATATTGATGAGCCACAGTGGAGCATTGTGACCAATCTCATTTTGTCAGGGGCAATAACTACCCCCACCATTGAAGTTACTTATGTTTCATTCACATCACAACAGCAATGACTTAAACCACAAAGAGTAAAGTGGAACTCCTATCCCACTTGAGCTGTAAAATGTGTTAAATTTAAGACTTATGCAGCTTTCTGCTTTTTGAATTTACATTTTGGCAATAACTACCTTCTTTGTTCAGTATTAGAAAACATGGTCTAGGCTTAACCAAATAAGAAACTGTCAAGGTCACAGATCTGGCAGTGAAAGAAGCCAGGATTAAGTGAAAGTCTAGATACTGACTTTACAGAGTATGTTAAAGGGAGATTTTGT